TCTTGAATTTTGCCTCCTTTGAATTTTTATTTCTTGTTCTTTATTTTGCTTCTTGATCCATAGTCTTCATTTTTGAATTCATTCTTCTTGATTTTTTATTGTGGATTTCGGATCTTTCTCTTCAACATACTTTCTCTTGTATTATTGTGTTGATGGATGATATAAAGAATGAGAAGTTGCATATGAATTGGGGACCATAACTCTATTTATAGTTTCCATATGTATTTCGTCCATCATGAATACAATTCTAAATGAATCTAGTCTCTACACACATATAATCCAGCTCGCACTTTATTTAAATGTCCTAAGCCCAACAATTTAATTCTTTATTAGATCACTTTAATATTGGGCTTAACTTTAAGATAGTTTTATACACAATTAATTACATATGTACGTCTAGATGACAAATTAAAATTTTCTCTAAATAGAGGATCCTCACACTCAGTTTGTGTGCTATGATTGCAAAACTAGCCATTTTGGCTAGTTTCAATATGGCACTTTGTGCAGCCACAAGTGCGCGAATTTGGCAAATTAATTTCATTCTTGGACTCGATTTTTGGTATTCTTTTGTCAATGTTTTCCCTATCTATACGTTATTTCTTAGAATTAAAAGGGAACATTTTATTGGGAAAATATAGAATTAAAGCTAGGGTTTAGAAACTTCATCAAGAAAATTAAGGTGGATTCTTTGTGTGAGATATTCAACTCTTTCTCGTTTCCTTTAAACTCGGTGATGTATTTCAATACACTTTTGTGTTTTCTTCCTTTGCGATGCTTAAATTACTTAATCACTAATTCATGATGTGTGAATTATAACAAACCGAGATGTGAGTTATAATTTTAGACCACATTGTGAAATTCGGCTAATGGATAGAAGGTAGAAGTATACTTTTACCATTTTTGTGGTCACTAGTTGAATTCCTATTAATGCGTTTAATTGATGTTTATTCAGATTCACATAAAGATGTAGTAAGTTAACTCAACTAGATAGGATTGATTTGAAATCGAGAGGGATAAACTAATGAATTCAATCGAGTACAGTTTTGGAAAGTGAACTTTAAGAGGCAAGATTAAAAGAGATAACTATAATAAAATCGTCTATCGCAATGGTTGAACCATCATATTAAATACTTTAATCAAAGTTAACTGAAATCTAAAGAAAACGAGTTCATTTAATTGCTTTTACTTTTCTTAGTTAATATTAATTTCAATCAAAACTTCAAACTTTGCTTGAAGTTTTGTTTTGACTATGATTATTTAAATTGATATTAGAATAAAGTATTCTCCATTGTTCGAAAATTAAGATTCTTTTAGGTCCCATTTAAAGTAAATAGCACTATTCCAACTCAATATACAGTTGCGATCTCCTCTAGTAAGGATTAATTAACATTTAGGGCTTATTCGATAGTAATTATGAGAATTGATTTTTTTGACCTTTAGAGAGAAAAGTGGCTCATATCTATGAGAGAAGTAAAAAATGACGACTAACTTGAGAAAGTAACGATCAAAAAATTGATTTTTTGGGAAAGTGTGAAATCATAACCAAACATGTACTTAATTAGTGTCAATAATTATGCACTAGACCTATCTAAAATGCCTCCACAACCGGCAATAGATCTGTCTCTTTGCCAAACCTATCTGTTTAATTGTTTCCACAGCTCAACTGGGACCATAATTACGGATGCAATTTATTGTTTTCAATGTACAACCATTTTATCTTATCATAACTATCTTTCCTTTTCTTTTCCTCCCTTGTGTTTAATTCACCATACAAAATATACCATCAAGTCGTCTTGAAAGTACAATGTTTTATTTGTCATATTTAAACAAATTATGAATAATCTTTAAACCCCTACTGTTACTGGATTTACAATTGATAATTTCCTTCCAGAAAGTGAAATTAACTACAATTACCTTTACTGAATTCATTGTTATCTTAGTTTTATTCTTATTATTGGTTCTTGTACTTTAAAAGTAGTTTAGATGTACTTATAACATTTTTAGTACTAATTGGGACATTTTCAAAACCAGTTTATGGAGAAATCATACAAAATTTAAAATCGTAGAAAATTAAAAACACAAGAATACAAGAATTGTTTTTCCCCTAAAAAGATCCTGATGTTTAGTCTAGAAAGACCTAATAACCCGTTTAGTATCTGCCAAGAGATATTGCTCAAAAGTCACTAATCTCAACCAAGAAATAGTACAGAAATGTATGAAGAAAGATTTCTTCAAGAAATTCTTTCTAGTTTGTCTATTACAAATCAGTAACACAACACTTTGATATCTCTCAAAGATCGTACAGATCAACCCTCATTCTTACTAAAAGAATAAAGATTGCACCACACAAATTTTAGTTATAGATTTTTAGCGATAACCCTAACCCACACGGAGAGAAAGAACCGTCCAAATATACACACACATATGAAGACGAAGAGAGAGGGCCATATATCTATCTATATAACCGGTTGCAATCTAGGGTTAAGAATAAGCCACGTATATGACAGATCACAACTCACTTAATAGAGGAAAAGACATGTGACATAAAAAACATGTTTTCAGGAAATGGGCCTCAAACCCAGTTTTGGAAATAATACAACCCAAGATGCCAAATATATAGTGAGACAGCCCAACATTTTACATTTTTTAATTTAAATCCGTTAAAAAAAAAAAGTTTCTCTATTTAAACATTTTACAGTGATTCAGTTAGTTGATTAAAATTCGATACTCTTCTCGAAACTTTGTCCATTTTTTGATGTTATTGGAAATCAACGATTTATTTATTTATTCTTTCTTTCTATTATAGACGTCGAGTATTTGAAGAATAAATGAACTTCTAATTTAATCCACGTTTATTGCTTCAAACTGCATCACGTGGGCAAATAAATTCTCTCATTCATGATTAATGTGGTTTTTTGTTCATATTTTCCTTAAACTTTCTTGTTATCTTATATGGTTGTTATACGACATAATTTATTTGGTCTAATTTCCACGATTGCAAGACTTTTAGGCAGGGACGGATTTAGGATTGGATCCACAACCGGGCTACAAAATTTCAAACCGGGCTACTACGCGAAAAAAAAAAAATTTTACACGTAAAAAACTGAATTTTTACCCCAAAAAAATAAAAAATACCTTAAAAAAACCTCTTGGACCTTAGGGGGGGCTACAGCCCAGCCCAGCCCCCTGAAATCCGTCTCTGCTTTTAGGTATATTGTGTTCCAAGGTACCATGGAATTAATGTAGTTGTGGTTGGACCAACTACATTTGACTTGGAATGGTTCACAGATGTTTTATAGGTGCTACATTAGCATTGCCTATTTGGTCCCCCTTTTTAACTATCTTTTACGCAAAATTACCAGGTATCATGTCCGTAAAAAATCTGTGAAACCCTCTCACCCACCAAGCATTTGTCTTATTGCATTGCCATTAGAAAGCAGCTTCCTTACCGTCATCTTACATATACCGATGATCCTCTGATATAAAACCTGCAAAGATGACAACTGACAAGGGACTTCTCTTTGAGGCCATTGCGATGCGAGAGTAAGTAGAATGTGTATCAAAGTTACACAAAAGCGAATGAATGTGTAATATCCATGCTATATATATATATATATATATATAT